GCCCTCCCTGAGCTTCAGTGTCTTTCCCTGGCCAATGGGGGCATTGCCTTCCACCTGGAACATTCTCCAAAGAATTAAAAATAGGACCAAAGTTGTCATTCTTTGTGTGCAAGCCAGAAAGCCACAGGCAACTTTGGCGGTGAGGGTGTCCCCCAAAAAACTCCCAGGAGCCTCTGGGCAGGTGCTGGGGAAAGCAGGGGGGCGGGGAGAGGGGGGACCTGGCACAAAATGGGGAAGGAGGAGGCCAGAGGTGGCTGGGCCCGGGAGAGGTGGCTGGGAGGCCCCCGTCCATCACGGAAATGGCCCATTTGCGATGATCGGTGGCCCAGGTGTTAATAACGCTAATGGCAGAGGAAGGGTAAACCGGCCACTTGGCTGAACAGGAGAAATATGCAGAGGAGAGCGCGGGCCCCCATAAATCAGCCGTGGGCAGCGCTGTGAGGGAGACAGGACTTAAAATTCCGGTCAGGAGACGGGTCCTCTCATAATCTGAGCCGGAGAGGTAATTTATTCTGTTTATATCTCTTTACTGCACAGCGAGGCTGGGAGCAGGAGCCCTCCGCCGCCACTCTGCATCTTCAATATTAGTCCTGAGCACCGGGGCCCGCTCTCCTGCTCCGCAGGGTGTTTATTTCGGGATGGGGGGATGGGCAGGGGCAGGGGGGCGAGAGCAGGCATGACGGGCCGGAACACATGTGGTCTCCCTGTCCGGTGCTGTCCACAGTGATGGCCTGGGGTCCCCTTTCCCCTCGCCGAGGGCACGGCTGGGGGCTGGCTCACCTCCTTATCTGCGTGCTCCCAGGTATTTCCTCCCCCAGAAACCTCTTATTTCTAAATGATAATAAACACCATGATGGAGCGATAGAAAGAGAGGAGCAGATACATGACTGGAGGAGGAAGGGACGAGGCAGGAGGGAGAGAGAGAGAAAGAAGGGCAGGCACGGAGAAGCCAAGCCCTCATGTCTTTTGACCTTGGCAGTTTTATTTAAAAAAAAAAATGAATAAAATAAAAAAATATATATATATTATAGATTTTTTACAGAGAGGAAGGGAGAGAGATAGAGAGCTAGAAACATTGATGAGAGAGAAACATCCATCAGCCACCTCCTGCACACCCCCACTAGGGACATGCCCCTGACTGGAATTGAACCCAGGACCTCTCAGTCCGCAGGCCGACGCTCTATCCACTGAGCCAAACCGGTGTCGGCTGACCTTGGCTGTTTTCAACAGTGCCCGGCCCTTCTGGCTGGCTGTGTTCAATCCGGGATGGATGGACGGACGGACGGACGGACGGACGGCATGCTGAACAGCACCCAGGGAGGATGCGGCGGGGAGACTCTGCGTTCCTTAGACGCTCATTTCTTTCAGACTGAAGCATTCATTCATTCATTCATTCATTCACTCACTCACTCACTCATCTAGGTAGTTACTGGATCCAGAGTGAGGCTTTGCCCGGGCCAGGCTGTGCCTCGGGTTCAGGGGAAACGTGGCTTCCGGAAGCAGATGTTGCTGATTGGAAACCTGGCGCTGCTTCTCCCTAGCTCTCTGACGGTGGGCAGCTCACGTCACTTCCCGGGCCTCAGTCTCCTCATCTGTAAAATGGGAGCGACAGCCCAAACCGGTTTGGCTCAATGGATAGAGCATCGGCCTACGGACTCCAGGGTCCCGGGTTCGATTCCAGTCAAGGGCATGTACCTGAGTTGCGGGCACATCCCCAGTAGGGGGTGTGCAAGAGGCAGCTGATCGATGTTACTCTCTCATCGATGTTTCTGGCTTTCTATCCCTCTCCCTTCCTCTCTGTAAAAAATCAATAAAATATATTTTTTTTTAAAAATGGGAGCGACAGCATTCATCCTGAAGGGGTGCCGTGAGGACTGGACCAGGCTCTGGACAAGGCAGTGGGGCAGTGGTCCTGCAAGTTCGGAGGAGGAATCAGGAGTTTGACACAGGAGCAGCACCCTGGCACAGCCTTCTCCTCCCCCACCCCCCCGAGGGGGACTCCAGCCCTGGGTGCGGGCCCAGGCCCGGGGTATGTATGTCCTCTGGTCACTGAGGAAGTGGCGGTGGGTGTCCAGGGACAAAGGTCCCTTCCCGAGGCTGCCCCTTCTCCATGCCGCCTTCCTTGGGAACTGCCTCCGTGACGCTCAGGGCCTGATCATGACAGTGACCTGGACCGGGACTGCAGGGCCCGGCACAGGGTGGGACGGGGTGGGGTTTCCCCGCCCTGAGCCCTGGGCCCGGGAGGCACTGGGGAAGTTGAAATGAGCCCACAGGGGGAGTTAGTCCCAGGCACAGACCGTGACCCCAGAGATGAGCATCCTTCTGAAACCTGGTCCCTGGGCCACCCTCTGGGAACTGATGCCCCCAAGTGTCCCCTGACACGAGAGTGAACTTCCTTTCCCACTTCCCTCCGGCTGACGCTGTGGGCATGCGGCGGGCACCTGCAGACCCTGTGTGCGTGTGCGTGCGTGTGCGTGCATGTGCGTAGTATGTGTGTGGTGTGCGTGTGTGCACATGTGTGCATGTGTGCATGTGTGTGTGTGTGTGTGTGTGTGTATGATCTCTTGTTTTAAAATTAAGAAGAGGAGGACAAAAAAAAGTCTGGGAGGAGATGCACTGGCTACATCCTCCTGTGTTTGAGATCCGGGGTGACTCCATGTGCTTCCTGTTGTGTGTCTGACACATCTAAGTTTCCCACAACAAGCCGTTGCCGGTGTCAGGTAGAGACAAAAAGGCGAGAAAAGGAAGGAGGGAGAAAGCCAGCCGCCGGGCCTTGTTCCTGGGGAGCCCCTGGGGAGGAACAGCAGGCGCAGGGCCTCAGCACGCACACACCCCATGGGGCCCACGTCTCCCCGTCTCCCCACCCCCTTCCCTTCCAGCCACCCTAAATGGGCGAGACCCCCACCCCAAGCTCGGGTGGGAAGGGTCCAAATGCAGGGCACTCGCCCGTTTATGTTTATCTCCTCCGTCTGCAGTGTCTGAAGTTGGCCGGGGACGTAGGGGGCACCCTTCCCGATCCCTTTGTAAGTTGGGGGGGGGGTGAGGCGGAGAAGCGGGGGCTTGTCTTGAGGATGTGGCCTCAGGCCTCCCAAACCTTCAGCGCTCTTTCCCGGAGGCCCATTTCCCCAGGGGACACAGCTCGCACTGCGCTGCTTTGGAGTGGCAGAGCACAAGTGGGGAGGGGGGCATCTGTCCTAATACAGCCTTGCAGTTAACAAGGTGGGCTTACCAGCCTGGTGCTTTTTGTTTGTTTGTTTGTGTTGGCACCTGGAATCGCAGGGGGCACCATTAGGATGGAAGCCAGAGTGTTTCTGACATCCTGGGACAAACAACCCAGACATCCATTCATTCATCCACATTGCTAAGGATTCCAAAACCGGTTTGGCTCAGTGGATAGAGCCTCGGCTTGTGGACTGAAAGGTCCCAGGTTCGATTCCTGTCAAGGGCATGTACCTTGGTTGCGGGGCACATCCCCAGTGGGGGATGTGCAAGGAGGCATCTGATCGATGTTTTTCTCTCATCGATGTTTCTAACTCTCTATCCTCTCCCTTCCTCTTTGTAAAAAAAAAAAAAAAAAAAAAAAACAACAAAAAACCAAAACCAACAAAACAATAAAATATATATTTAAAAAAACATAGCTAAGGCTTACTGCGTGCCGGGCGGGTCTGTGTGAGATGGGGTATCACATCAGCACCCGGAGATTCCGAGCCAGTGCAAGCAGCCGTAAAAGGCAACCACAAAAAAGCAGCCGCTCCCATTTCCTCACCGTTACCCCAAAACTCCTCACGTAGACAGGGAGAGGCCCTCGGACCCGCCGAGTCTGCCTGCTGTCAGAAACAAGAGCCATAAAAGAATAACTCCATTTATTCCGAGTGACTATAAAGACAGAACAAAACAATAATAAAGAAAAAAAGAAAAAGAAAACCACATAGCACGAGGGCAAAAAAGAATTTTTATTAATATTTCTTTTTAGAAAAGTTGATTTTTTTAATGTGTTTTATTATTTTTTAGGTAAACCTCTTTCTGCTTCCCCTCCCTCACTCGGCCCACCCTCCTCTCAAAAATATAAAAATGTCCAATCGCAGGTAACTAGAGTACAATAAATAAACAGTAAACACAAAAACATACTTTATTTGTTTCTTCTTTATACAAAATAAGGAAACTAGAAGCGTCCAACTTCCAAAAAAGTATAATACTGTACATCCTGACGACCCAGCCTCCAGGCCCCGGGCAGGGCTGGGGGGAGAGGGGGTTCTGTGGGACGGAGCCCAGACATCTTGGCGCCTTGCCCACGGGGAGAGCAGGGTGGGCAAGTGTTCGAGTCCAGCCTGGACCCTGGGGCTCAACATAACCATCCAGGAAGGAGGAGGGGAAAGCGGGGCGTCTGCTCAGACCGCGCCCCACCTTCCTGGAAAAGCCGACCTTGGTCCTCAAGACGGGCCACCAGGGGGCGCTGACGCGCAGGCGGACTTGTCTTCCAGCGACGCCCCCGGTCCGGCGCGGTCCTCGCTCTCTCTCCATCCTCCCTCCCCAGCGGGCGCGCGCTCTCCATTCCTCTCTCCCTCCAATCTCTCCCCCCTTTCCTTACCGTCTTGTTGGAAAGACGGGGAAATCAGAGTGAGACATAAGATGGCAAAAATGCCTCTCGGATGACAGAGGGAGGGACCGGCCTCCGCCCCCTCTGGGTCCATGGAGGTGGGGGTGAGGCAGAGTGCAGAGCGCGCCGCGGGCCTCCTGACCCTCTTGCAGGGCTGACTTTGGTCCCGGGAAATGGCTCGTGGAGGCTGCCGGGAGAGCGATGGCGGAGGATGGGGTCCCGGTGGCGACGGGGGCGGCCCCCTCCGCGCCCCGCCGAGCGGCTGCAGCTGCGCGTCGAATGCGGACCCGGGAGAGCACCCCCGAGGGAGCCTCCAGGGGGCGTTTTGGTTTCCGGGGACGCTGCGTCCATCCGTCCGTCCGCCCGCCCGCCCGGGGCGGGGGCGGCCCGTGTCCCGGCGGCCTTACCACACGGCGGCGGCCTCGTTGAGCTCGGGGTTGGGGTGCGCGAGGGCCCCGCTGTAGCCGCCGGCGCCGCCCAGGGGGAAGGGTGGGCTGGGGCCCCCGCCGAACACCTCGCCCGGCAGCGGGTGCAGCGCGCCCGGCAGCCCCGGCTCGGGGCTCGGCGTGTCCGGGTGCGAGATCATGTCGGTGAAGCGGGGGTTGTCGGCGGCGGCGTGCGGCGCGGCCAGCGGCGGCTCCAGCGCGCCCAGCGGCGTGGGGCCGGGCCCGGCGGCCAGGAAGCCGGGGTCGGCGGGGGACTGCGCCTGCGAGGGCGGCCCGGCCGCGAAGAAGTCGTAGTTGCCTCCGGGCGCGTAGTAGTCGCCTTGGTAGTCTGCGGGGGGAGAGACAGGCCGTGAGAGGGGCGGGGGGAGGGGGGGACCGGGGACCGGGGACGGTGACCAGGGTTCGGGGACCGGGGTTCGGGGACCGGGGATCGGGGTTCGGGGACCGGGGACCAGGGTTAGGGGACTGGGAACCGAGGTTCGGGGACCGGGAACCGACGACCAGAGGCGGGCAGGCGTGTGTGGGGGCGCCGGGAGAGGACATTAACGGGGGTTTGGGGGCGCGCGCGGAGACCGAGGGAGAGGTCGGCCCAAAGCGGCGCGGGCGCGGGGCCCAGGGGTCCCGTGGGGAGAGAGACACGGAGACGCAGAGAGGGGAGAGACGGGCGATGCAGAGACGCGAAGGGCGGCGGGAGGGATGCAACTTGAGGCCCCAGGTCCCGGGCAGGTGGCCGGGCGCGGTGGCCGCGGAGAGGGGCTCGGAGCCGGGGAGAGATGCACAGAGCGGGGACAGGGACCAGCCGAGGACGGACAGACGGACAGAGGGACAGGGGACGAGAGAGGGGCCTGCGAGTCCCCAAGTCAGAGACCTCGATGCGGCGCGCCGGGAGGTGGGAGGACGAGTGGGACGGGCTGTCCAGGAGGGAAACGCGAGGCCGCGGCTCGAGGCGCCCGCGGGAAGCCCAGCGAGACGCCCAGGAGCCAGGCGGAAGGTCCGGAAGGTCCGGGGGACAGAGGGGCGGTGCGGTGAGGCAGAGAGGAAGCCAGGGACGGAGCGGAGCGCCGGGGAGGAGCGGGGCGGGTGCGGAGACCAGACCGGAGCGCACAGCGGGCGGGAGGAGCCGGGGCTGAGCCGGGGCGCGGCGGGCGGGCTGGGGGGGGGGGGGGCCTGGGCCGGGACGCGGAGGGGCGGGGGCCCTGGGCCGGGTTGCGGAGGGGCAGGGGGGCTGGGCTGGGGATGCGGAAAGCTGGGTGCGGGAGCGCCAGGCGGGCTCCGCTCCCCATCCTCCGGCTCTGCGCCCCCCGCCCGGCACCCAGACAGTGGGCCCAGCGCCCTGGGAGACGGGGCGAACTCGGGGTTCCGTCGGCAACCCAACCTCACTCCTCGGGGCGGCCGGGACCCCAGCGTCTGACGCGTTTGGGAACAGGGAGCCCTTCTGAGAACCGGGTGACAGTTTGGGGTTCTCTCTCCAGAAAGAGGCGCACGTGTACGTTCTGCCCACAGTCAGGAGACACGGGGACTCCGGGTCACAGCCTGCCCATTCCCAACGAAGTCTCTCAAAGCCCTTCCCCCAGATTCATCCAGAGCCTGTCCCCACCCCCAGGCCAGCCCTTGAGGGAATGGGGTGTGGAACCCCACAAAGGGAGCGCCTGCAGCCCCGCCCCGGCGACAATAACCCGCTTTGTGCGGCGAGAAAACCGGGGCTCCGGGGGCCAGAGTCTCCCCAGCAAACGCACACACCTGCTCAGTCCCCGGCGAGCTCCGGAGGCTCAGTCCCCGGCGAGCTCCGGAGGCTCCCTGCCCCCCCCCCCTCCAAACCCCGAAACCAGTCCAAGCGGAGGTGTCTGGACCGGAGGCGAGGCTTCGGGATGGTCCACAACAGCCAAAACACTCTCCAATTAATTACTTTTTTTTTTTTTAAAGGAAGCACACATTCTATTCTCCCGAAACTGAAGCGGAAGGTTGGAAGAGAATGTGGGGTCCCTCAGGGGCAGGAATGGGGAGCGGCAGGGCCCCGCTGCGCGCGGCCAGCCTGCGCGGGCCGGGCCCGTCGGAGCGCGCCGCCCCCGCCCATATGGCGGCCAGGCGGCGGTAATTGGCACAAACGCCTCTGAAAGGGGCACAAAGGCCGCAGCTGGGGCTTTGTCCGCGCTCCCACGGGGCGCCGCCGCCCGCGCCTTTCTCCCCGCCGCCGCCGCTGCCGCCGCCGCCGGGATCTCCCAGCGCGGATTAGGCGGGGCTGCCTCGCCCGGGCTCGGGGGTCCGGCGCCCCCATCCCCGGGGAAGAGGGGCCCGGGTGTCCAGGCCCGACCCGAGCCAACAGACGCGCGGTTAAAGGAGGCGGCAGGGAACCCTTGGTTAATAACCCAGACAGGGAACATTCCGGACTGGGTACCCCCACCACCTCCGAGTGCAGCCGCTGAGGTTTTGTGCGGAAGGAAGCCAAGTTAGATGGAGAGGTCCCCATCCAGGCCGTCCTGAGTGTCTGTAGCCGCTCCCTCCCTTCCCCCAAACAACAACAACAACAACAACAAACCTGGGCCCTGCCATCGCAGAGTCTCTCCCCTAAAAGCAGAGCCACTAATTCTGTCCACAGTTTCTGGGGACCCTGGCCAGACGGGAAGGTCTGACGTCCGGGCCTGAGGATGTGCCAAAAAGGTGTCCTCTTTCCCCGGGCCGCCTGGGGCTGGGCTCCTGGCTCTCGCCTTCTGCTGCCACCCAAACCCCTTTTTCTAAGAGGAGTCGCCTCTCCCTAAACTGAGCTGCTTGCCCGCCAACCCTCACAGGCCTGTGATCCTGGGCCGCTCAGAGCGGAGACCCATCAGGCACAGGCCCTCCTGAGGGCTCCCCACATTCAGAGACCAGAACAGCGGGGGGGGGGCGGTTTGGGAGGTGGAGGATGGTAGTAAGCTTGTGCTGAAATGCCCCGGAGTCTCCAAAGCCTGGGCAGGGAGCTGGGATGGGTCTCCCCGGAGCAAGTACAGGAACAACGGAGGGGAGGAGAGAAAGAACGGGTTGGAGGAGAGAAGGGGGGAAGGAGGAAGAGGAGGGGTGACCAAGAGCCACGTTCACCCAGCACTGAGCCTGGTAACATCCGACACAGAACTGCTCTTCACGAACTCCTGCTACTCGCCCCCAGACCCCCAAGACTGAGAGCTGGCACCTGGGTTGGCCCAATCCCCGAGCCCCCAAATGCCTAAACACAGGTGTCCTGCCCAGAGCAGCTGCCTGTATCGGGGCTACAGGTGCCAGAGGCGGCGAGCACAGACCCTCGGCTGCCGAACCCCAGTCAAGACATTGGGAGCTGAAGAGCAGGCTGCGGGATGAATCCTGATCCCCCCATCCCCCGGCTGGCACATTGCCCTCCAGTGCCCGAGTTCCTGCGGGCGCCAAGTACCCCAGGCTCCAGGGGGGTGTGGGGGACAGGAAGGAGGCTGTGTGTCCGGGTGGGGCCCGGGGCATGAGGGTTTGTAAGTGTCCAGCTTGGTCTGCTGGTGGACGTGTGTGAGCTTGGATTTCCCAGGTGTGTCTGTCAGTAAGTGTGTCTGGGGTGGGGTGTACTGTGTGTGTAGTCATGTGTCCCCGAGGTCTCTGAACTCCAGTGTGTGTGCGAGAGGGAGTGTGTCCCGTGTGTATGTGTGTGTGTGGCAAGCTGGTCTGCTGTGTCGACCTGAACGGGTGAGTGAACCGCGTGCCCGATTTCGCATCCAGGAAGTATCTGTGGGTGAGTGTGTATGTGTTGATGTGTGTCTGGTACAGTGTGTCCGTTAGGGTCCTGCGTGATAGAAGTTGGGGGGGCGGGGGTCCCTGGTTGCAGCCCAGAGCGGTAGGATCGGCCATGAGCTCAGCCTCTGGTGTAGGGCAAAGCTCTCGGGGGTCTCTTACCTCCATAGTAAGTGTATGGAGTGGACCCCAACATTTCAGACTCGTCCAAGCGGCCCCCCAGGGGACGCATGCGCCTCGGACTCCGAAAGAAGGCGTGTCTCCGGGCGCCCAGTGCGCTCAGCTGTTTCATCCTGCGCTCTTTGGACCGCCGGTTCTGGAACCACACCTGGGGCAGAGGAGGGGGCCGTGAGCCGGGTGGCAGGCATCCTCTCCTGGCCCTGGGCCGCCCCTGTTGGGTCCTAGCGCCTCCTTCCTCCAAAACTGCCCTGAGGCGGGAGGTGGGGGAGGGGGGGTGGATTAGGCCGGAGGGGTGGAGAGGGGCCTCGGTGAACCAGCCAAGGGTGAAGGATTTGGCGGACCCTTGGGGCGACTCATAAAGACTCAGGCTTCCCAGTCCTTGCCCGCCCGCGGCCTGACAGCTTTATAAAAGCCTCCCACCCGGCCTGGCTCTGCTCTGGGCCCCCGGCTCCCAGCCGGACTCCGGCCGTCGGTCAGTCTGCCTGCCCCGGCTTTGGCGAGGGAGGAGGCCATGGAGGAACGTCGGCCCCTCCTCTGCTCCGTAGGGGAGAGGAAGGGAGGGGCCTGTCCGCGAATGAGGCTTAACACCTTCCTAGAAAGGCGGGGCGGGCTCTGGGATAAGGTGCCTGATGACTCTGGCTGCGGGTTCGACCCGCTGGCCCGGCCCGAAGCGCTCCGCTGGCCGCTGAACCGGAGCCCCGCGCGGAGTTGGGCGCGCGGCTCCCCTGGGCCTCCCAGCGCTGGGGCGCCGCGGGCCAGGCGCAGGGAGGCGGGAGGGGGCCCTGGCCGGGCCGCACCTGGATGACACGCATGTTGAGGCCGGTCTCCTGCGCCAGCTGCTCCCGGATGTGGCGCGTGGGCTTGGGCGTGGCGGCGAAGGCGGCCTTGAGCGTCTCCAGCTGCTTGGCCTTGATGGTGGTGCGCGGGCCGCGCCGCTTGGTGCCCGAGTTCTGCTCCTCGTTCTCGTTGTTGGCCGTCTCCTTGTCCGACGACGTCGAGTTGTCCGTCTCCTTGGGATCGTCCTGCAGCGGGTCCTGGAGGTCCGGGGACAAACTGCGGTCCGTACAGGATGACACTGCGGCGGAGGAGGGAGGGCGAAGGGGGCAGCGGCGTGAAAGGCGGTCCCGAGGCCGCCCCCACCGGGAGCCGGTTTCAGCCAGCCGGCCGGCCGAGGCCGCCGCCAGCCCCGCGGGGTCCGCTCCCAAACCCTGCGACGGCCCCTCCCCCAGGCGCGGGCCCGCCCCCTCCGTCCAGAGTGGCCGGGCCTTTGGGGGGACCCCTCTCCAGCCTACTCAGCGCTTCCCGCCTAGCGCTGGGGGCGGGGGCGGCGCGCGCTCCGGAGAGGAGTCTGGGGGAGGGTCCGGGTGCGCTCGGGGCCTCAGATCTTAGCTTCCCGCTCCCGCCTCGCCTTCCGGTTGAAGTCCTACGGGTGCGGGGAGAAGCGAGCAGGAGCCCAAAAGGAGCGGAAGGGAATGGCGCAGCTCCAGATGGGGAAGGTGGCGCCGGGAAAAGGCTCCCGAATGGGAGGCGGGCAGGGGAAGGGCGGGGTGTCCAGTCGGCCTGGCTTCTATTCTCTGTCCTACCCCGGCGCCCGGCCGCCTCCCCCAGAGCCGCCTGCCAGGTGGCCGGGAGCGGGGTGCCCCGCGCGGGCCGGGAGCGGCGGAGAGCGCGCGGGTGGGCGGCGCCGGCGGGAGAGGAGGGAGGCCCTACCTGAGTTGAGGCTGCCCTCCTTGAGGCTGGGCGAGCTCAGGTAGTCGTCCTTGCACACGAACTTGTTCTCGTCGATGACGTAGAGCTCCTCACCCGTGGACAGCTGCTTGTTGCACACCATGCAGGTGAAGCAGTTGAGGTGAAAGACTTTGCTTCGGGCCTTGCGCACCAGGTCGCTGGGCGAGATGCCCTGCGCGCAGCCCGCGCACTTGGTGCCGAAGCGCCTGCCGACGACACAGTACAACCCGTCACCGGCAGACAGAGGCCCCATCCTCGCCAGCCCCGACCCCTTCCCGCCCTCCCGGCTTCTGAGAAGCTCCATTCCTTCCCTGTCCGATGAGACCTCGCCGGCCACTCTGCTCCCTGGCTGAACACAAGGAGACCAATGTCCCCGGCTGCTCTTGGGCTGGGACCGCCATGTCTCGCTCAGGTTTATTTGGATTCCACTGGGCTTAGAGCAATGGGCATAGCCTTCAGCCAAGCGGAAGGCCCAGAGCACACCCCAAGCTGCTCCCTGTACCCCCACATTCACCTGGGATGCTCTGGGCAAACCCTCCTCTCCAGGCTGGAAAGGCGTTGGAGCCAGGCGGGCAGGGTTTGGACCCCTCCTTGGCTGTGCCTCTTGGACCCTTGGGCCTGGCTGGCGGTTGCTAGCCTTTGGCGGGAGGGAGATAGCCATTGGAGGGGAGCCTTCTCCTGAGCGGGACCCAGGCTGAGAGGAGGGAGCCTTCTGCCCACTCCAGGCACCGCCAGCGCCTGGGGCTTCCCGGTGCCCGGTGCCCGCTGTGGGGTGCAGCGCAGCTAGTCAGGGGGGGAGCAGTGGACCCCAAGAAGCAGGGACTGAGATTCCAGCCCCCCACAACATCTCTGGCCCTGGTAAGCAGTGGGGAAATGTAGGCAATTCAACAACTACCTGGCCAGCATGGGGGGTTGCTCAAACCCCACCCCCCTTCACCCCTAGGGCCTGGTCTAAATCCTTTTCTTGAGCTGGGAAGCAGGCCAGTCTCCTCCGAGCGATACAGGTGGGGCTGGGGAGGGAGAGGGCCGGGACGTTGGGCCCCGCACCTGCTCACACCCAGGTCTCCGAACAGCGAATTTGGGTGACGTTGATGTAGTGGGGGCATTAGAAGCCATAAGTCACTGGTGGCCTTATCCGGCCGCGTAATTGGCCATATGCACCTTATCAAAAATCATTAGGCGCCTCGTAAGCCTTGCCACATTAGGGCCTCGGCTCCCCAGGCCGGGAGTTTACACGTGTAAAGGCGAGGCTGACATTTTCTCTGGTTCAGATTCCCCAGGCCAAGCAGCTGTGGAGGGGGGGGGGGAGGCTCGCTTCTCCCTGTCCCTCACGCCCCCTTCCCTGGGCCCGCATTCGCACTCACAAAGCCGCTCTCCAGGGCGGGAGGAAGCAGGCAGGGCTGAGCTGCTGCAAATCCCACTGCCTTCCAGGCCACCCCTGGGTACTTCCCAGCTGGGGAAACTGAGGCCAGAGCAGAGATCGTCCCTAGCCTACCCAAGGGCCCCTGTGGGCAGCAAGGGGAGGGAGGTGGCATGGCCCGGGCGAGACCCCAGAGGTCCAGATTCTCAGCTTGAATTTCTTGGGTACTTTTCAACGTGGGAGGAAATATTTACGGAGTTGGGGTGAGGGGATGAAGAGGTACAGGGTCCCTCCCCCAACATCAGAGGAAACCCTCCTGGCGGAGCCCCAGGGCGCTGGGAGGCTGGTGTCTGTCCAGGAGGGTCCTGGGCCGCATGCCCGCCCGCCCGGAAGCCTCTTGGCAAATGCAGTCTGCCTGGTGGGGGAAGCCTCCAGCCACCCCTAACTTTGCAAAAACCCTCTTCTCTCAGACTCCGGGCTCCCACCCCGGAAATGTAGCCACTGGAAGGAGTAGGGTCAGGCGGGGAGTAAGTTGTCAGAGCTTCCTCCCCCAGGGAATCTCTGGTCCGAGCCCTCCGGGAGGAGCCACCAGGAGGCAGCTTCCATTTGGCTCCGCCGGGGCTCCGGCCCTTTCCTTGACCAAGGACAGGGGAGAGCGGTGGCCGGCCCCTTCTGAGCTGCAGAGCCTGGGAGGAAGTGGCGTCCCCGTCCCCAGGCCCCCGCGGCCGCGGGCCTCTCACCTGAAGAAGTCATTCTTGCAGTAGAGCTTGCCTTCGCGCGAGAAGCACTTCTCCGAGAGGTTGGTCTTGCACTCGCAGCACTGCACGCACTTGATGTGCCACGCGCGGTCCAGCACGTTCAGCAGGAAGCGGTCGAGGATGGGCCGCTCGCAGCCGGCACAGTGCACCATCATCGCCGCGCGCCCCGGCGGCTCGGGCCGCCTCGCCCTCCCCTGGGCCCCCGGCCCTCGGGCCCCCCGGCCCCCCGGCCCCGCAGCTGCGCTCCGCCTCTCCGCCTCTCCTCTCGGCCGAATGCCGGGCGAGGCTGGTCCGGACCAAGACTCAGCCGCCGGTCAAGTCCTTGGGTGATCGCCGGCCTGGCGCTGGGCCGCCCGGGGTGGGGAGGGCAGCGGCGGCGCTCACAGCCTCATGCCTGGGCCCCGTGCGCCCCGGCACCGGTTCCGAGCTCCCCTCCAGGCGTCTCCGGTAGCCGCCGGCCTCGGCGCTGCGGAGCGGCTCTCCCGGGTGGCGGTGGAGGCGCCGGCACTTTCCCCCACTTTCAGGCGGTCCTGATCCTCATCTTTGTCTGGCCGCCGCCTAATTCGCGCATCCTTATTCAGATTTGGTGACGTGGCGCGGCGCGTAGGGGGCCCGCCGGCCAATGGGCGCGCGGTGGCCATAGCAACCTCTTAAATTTATAGCATATCTAAATTGGCTACAGCGTTGCGGTCCGGACAGAGCAAAAAAAACAAGGCATCCGTATTGTTGAGTATTAGCTTGTACCTGGTTCGGAGGCAGGCGAAGTGAGTATTTACCTTACAGTTGGGGGCTGGAGGCGGGGAGGGGGGGGGGCGCGCGCGATCTGAACCTGCTTCTCCCTCCTTCTCTCCTCGGAAGTATTTGGGGGCCGGGATTCCTGGGCCTAGTGGGGGAAGGGACTTCTAGCCCCATTCGCCATCCCTGGAACTTGCAGAAGTTGCACGGGGTTGGAGTACGCTCTAATCCGCCTTCTCTTTCCCAGCCCGGCAGCCCGGATGGGAATTCCTCTCCCGGGCGCTTCCCCCGGTCTGCGCCTCGGAGCTGCTTCAGCGCGGCTCACCGGGCTCCCAGCGCCCGCCCGCTTCTTTTGTCATACAAAGGGCCAAGGCCCAGGTGGCCTTTGGGGACTGGGGGGTGAGAGGGGGGAGAGGGAGAGAAAAAGGGAGAGAGGGAGGAGGAAGAGAGAATTGAGAGAGAGAGAGAGAGAGAGAGAGAGAGAGAGAGAGAGAGAGAGAAAATGGAGGTCTTTGAGTTGGTGTATTTCCCCCCAAACAGGCCCAGGTTCAGGTTGTGGAGCCAGGTCAGAATCTCTGAATTTCAGGCCCGAGGCCAACGCCCACGGAGCTCCGGAGAAGAGGTGGGCGAGGAGTTTTCCTGGAGCCACTAAGAGGTGGCGGCGGTCACGGGTCTCTCCTTTCCTCATTGCACCTTCAAGATCTGGGTCCAGCCAGTAGGGCACCACACCGCAAAGCGGGGAACGGGGAATGCTAGCGATGGGGCGGCCGCTGCTTGCACACGCAGGGCGTGCAAGATGGGTGTGCAACTTCTGCCTGAAAGGATGTAGCAGGAGCGGCTGTGTGTGTGTGTGTGTGTGTGTGTGTGTGGAGAGGGATGTTGGTGTGGGTCTGAGGGCAAAGAGGGAAGGATGAAGCCTCATTTTCCAAGGGGTCAACTCGGGGAAGGGTGTTCTGATTGAGGGAGGCCCTGGAGCTGCGGGGATTTTCCATCCCCGCCTGGAAAGCCGCTTCTCTGGCAGGGAAGGCCAGGCCTGAGCCCCGGCGCTGGAACTTGGGGTTGTGTTTGCACCAAGACAGGACTTGGCAGTGTGTGAGGGCAGTTCACCCAGTTCCTCAGTGTGCATTTTGAGAATGGCATTTTTACCTGTTTAAGTCAGTAATCTGTCATGTGAGTACAGTTTGGTGTGTGTATTCTGTGTGTGTGTGTGTGGTTATGCTAATGTTGTGTGTTATTCTGTGCGCTCTTGGTTTTTTGGACCTTGTATCTGTGTAGACGCTTACTTGCGGACATGCGAATGTGAGGGTGTTTGCATGTGAGTGTGCATTTGTGTAAGATTATTTGTGTACATAGTGCTCATGTCAACGTGAAAAGGGACTTTAAAATCTGAGTGTGAGTATGTGTGTGTGTGTGTGTGTGTGTGTGTGTGTGTGTGGTGTTTGAGCTTGTGTGACTGAGTCCGGACGGGGTGTGTATAAGAGCAGAATTGTGTTGTGTGCCCCTCACTATGAGTATCACAGGTGTGAGTACTGGTTCATGTAGTAGTTTTTGTTTGTGAAACTCCTGTAGGTTTTGGGGGGGCATATTTGTGTGCGTGTGCTCCTGACAGCATGTTACCTTTGTGGGTGTAGAGGGGGCAGCGTGTGGGGTGCCTGTGTTGGTGCAGTGCCTGTCCAGGCTTAGCGCGGTCCTCAGGCTCCAGGGAAGGGAACCAGGCTGGGAACAGGGAGGGACAGATGCTGGTCACCGGTGGGGTATTGACCCACAAAACATGTCTTTGAAGAGGAGGCTCCAAAACGGGCAGCCTCTGCCTGATGGTGCTGTTCTCCCACCCTCAGCCTGGTCTGACTGGTGACAGACAGGTGTCTACACAGCACAGCGGGCCTGGCCAGGCTCAGGTCGGATGGTCACTCAGGCCGAGGGGTAGGGCTCCAGGGGCCACAGTTTCCAGCAGTGGCTGGTCCTGCCTCCTGGGGCGCGAAAGATCCTTGAGAGAAACAAGAATGGAGAGGAGAAGGAAGGAGAGGGTTGGAGAGGGGAAGAGAGGAGAGAAGAGAGGAGGAGAAGAGAAGAGAGGAGAAAAGAGGAGAGAGGATAAGGGGAGAGGAGACGAAAAGAGAGGAAAGGGGAAGAGAGGAGGAGAGGAGAGGAGAGGGGAAGAGAGAATAGGAGAGGCACCCAGGCTCACGTGGGGCAAATTGCCCTGCTCCTCTGTCTTTGTCTCACCGGGTTTCCTCACTCTCTCACATCTGTTTTCCTTTCTTCTGCGTTCAGCCTCTGTTCTTGTCCTGTTTCCCTTCCCCTCTGTTTCCATCACTTTGTTTCTCTATTTCTCTCTCTTGTTTTTATTCCCCTCCCTCTGCCTCTCTGCTGGGCATCCAAACCCAGCACCCGACTCATTGCTGCAATCTACCATCCCCATCCTGCACAGCACAGATTTTGGGGTGACAGAGGGAGGACATATACAGGCCTTAGAAACCCCCATCTGATGGCCTCCGGACTAGGCACACCGAGCCCACCTCCGCCCAGTCCCCCACCACGTTAGGGCTGCCCGGTCCTCCCCACACCGGCTTTGTCCAGGCTGCTGGCGCTCAATGCCTGCGTGCCGGCTCCATCGCAGACAGACCCACCTGCCTGTGCCTCCTGGCTCCCCTACCTGCCCGTGCACTGTGGTCCCAGCAGCTGTGGGCCGGGGCAGGAGGGGGTGGGGGACTGCAGGAGCAGGGGGCAGTCTCAGGGAGCAGCCCTGGGGCTCTCAGAGCCTGGGTGTGGTGAGTCACCTGGGCTGGAAGTCAGAGGTGAGGCCTCTTCTTCCAGAAGTTCTGGTCTGGACTTCAGTGGCTGAATTTACCCCTCTTGTCCAGGTCATTGCCCCCCACCCGGACTCACCAGGGGGTCCCCAGCACAGCCCAGCGCCAATCCAGACGCCCCACCGCCCCAGCCCAGCTGCAGGGGAGCCTGCTTGTCCTCCGCCAGCCCTCCCTCCACACGGCATCCAAAACAAAAAACAAAAAACACCTCAAACAAAACGCCTGCAGAACCAACTATGAGGCGAATGATCCTGCCCTTGCAGCGCTAACAGATGGCGACCAGGCAGCGAAATCCCCTCCGATATGTAACTAATAAACCGCTTGTGTCTTAACAGGGTAATGCATGGAGATACAATGTCACTTACACAAGATGTTGATGGAATTTCCTATATAAAAACCTTCTTCCTCCTAGAGGAAAGCGTATCAGCATTACCGCTCGACAGACGGCGGCGGGGATAAGTAAAACAGACAAAAGACAAACACGATAATAATCTGTTTCCAATCACTTAAGCCCGGTAGCGTTCCTAATGTGCGGTTTGCATATTCCCCCTTGGGTTGGGCAATTAATTACCGGCGGCGAGGAGGCACACACCTTCCAGAAGCGGGGGTTTGGAGGCGCGCTGAGCCGGGGTTTGGGGGCTCTTGCCCGAGCTCTCCATCCTGGGCAGCGGCCAGCATAGGGACCCTCCGGGCGTCCGGAACTGACCTTCCCGCGGGCTGCAGAGAGCGTTTCGGTTGCATCTGGCAGCTCCTCACCGGCCATCTCCTGCCCCGGGAATGCTGCAGCCCAGCAGAAACGCGGGCCTTTCAGGCAGTTAGAATAGTTCTCTTCCCCCCTCCGAAGGCATCCCCGAATGGCCTTTCTTGGGGAGCACTGTGGGGGACACCCAGGGAGCGCGCCCCTCGTCCTCTTCTCCCACGTTGTCTTGGGCGGCTCAGCCGGCCCAACACCGACTTTGATCATTATCGTCCCCCCCTCCCCAACAGGCACACTCTGCACCCCCCCGCCCCCCCCCTCCAAGAGCCAGCGCGGCTTTAACATTAAACAAACGCAGCGGCGAGCGCCTCTGAGCCGCGCTCCCGGCCGGGCCTGCGCGGCGGCGGCATTGGCGGCGGCGTTACAAATTGTAAATTTAAATTGCTCGCCGGATTCATTACCTCCCTCTTTGATTTCAGCCAGCCGTGAAAAATTATACTGGTGTACCACTGAGAAACTGTTTTGCCGCAAAGAGCCCGCGCCTAATCACTGGCTTTCTCCCTCCGACAAAAGTGTAATTATTTTGTTTGGGGTGTAAATATCGGCCGCGCGGCGCACACACACTCAGCGCCCCGCCGCGCCGCCGCGCCCGGCCCGCCGCCGGGGGATCGGCCCCGCAGCCGGAGCCCGAGCGGGCGCGGACCTGCCGCCCCGAGGCCGGAGAACAGCGGCGGCTTTGGGGCCATCCGGCGAGACCGGGAGAACCGAGCCCACAGGCTGGGTCCCCAGCCCCTGCCGCAGGGAGTTCGGGTTTGGCGGAGGACCACTGACCCTGTGTGCGCGCAGGCTGGCCGGGGAGACGCCGGTGAGGCGCGGTGGCAAGGCCTAGAGCATCCGCGCAGCAGCTAGGGCC